AATATTCAACTGTTTGTAGCCCAGGTGCTGTCCACTTGCTATGCCCTCATTATGATGGCTGTCATAGTAGGCACAGCACTGCAGTTGGGAGAGGACGGAATAGGTTCGCCCTCGGCCATCTTTTTGATATCAATGGTGGGGTCATTCTTCATAGCCGCATGTTTGCATCCGCAAGAATTTTGGTGTATAACATGCGGCTTAATATATTTATTGTCAATACCTTCTATGTATCTGCTCCTTATTCTCTACTCTATCATCAATTTGAACGTCGTCTCCTGGGGCACTCGGGAAGTTGTCGCCAAAAAGACCAAAAAGGAGTTGGAGGCGGAGAAGAAAGCCGCCGAGGAAGCCAAGAAGCGAGTAAAACAAAAAAGCATGTTAGGCTTCCTACAGAGTGGCATAGGCGATAATGATGATGAGGAGGGCTCCATCGAGTTTTCGCTAGCTGGTCTATTCCGTTGCGTTTTTTGCACCCACGGCAAAACATCCGACGAGAAGCAGCAGCTGACCAACATTGCCGAGTCTTTGGATACAATCAAAACACGCATTGACACCATCGAGAGCGCTGTGGATCCACATGGTCATCATGCTTCCCGTCATAATAGACGTCGGACGACGTCTAGTGGCTCCAAGGATCATCATTTACTTACGTCGGTAGCTGAAAAATCGGGCGGCGAATCAGATGCGTCGGATTCAGATACCTCGGCAGAACCCAAGCAGGAACGTGATTTTTTGACCAACCCCTATTGGATTGAGGATCCTGATGTCCGCAAGGGTGAGGTGGATTTCTTATCAAGTTCGGAAATTCAGTTCTGGAAGGATCTCATCGATCAGTACCTATACCCCATTGATAATGATCCCGTGGAACAGGTAAGACTAAATAAGTTCTGATAGGATTAACAAGGTCTAGTACGTTTTATGCTACCCACCACCTGCCGATAAAATACTTTTAGGCCCGTATAGCTAAAGACCTCAAAGAGCTGCGCGATTCGTCGGTATTCGCGTTCTTTATGATCAATGCCCTGTTCGTGTTGATCGTGTTCCTGCTGCAATTGAACAAGGACAACATTCACGTCAAATGGCCCTTTGGCGTGCGCACCAATATCACCTACGACGAGTCCACCCAGGAGGTAATTGAGTCTCTCACAAACACCACTAACAATTTTTCGTTTTTTTTTCTCTCTCTATTTCTCTCATATAACTGTGTGAATCCGCATGATCGATCGCCAAAACTCAAGGCCCGCATAGCCTCCGATCTGATTGAGCTGCGCAATAAGTCGGTCTTTGCGTTTTTTATGGCCAACGCCTTATTCGTATTGATTGTCTTCTTATTGCAACTGAATAAGGATAAATTGCATATTATATGGCCGTTGGGCGTCAAAACGAATATTACGTATATCGAAGAGACATCTGAGGTTTATAATCCTATACAATTACAATCAAACTTTAACTTATGTTTCTACTACCAAAACGTTTTGTTCTGTGTCGCTCAGTATGTGTTACTTATCTTAAACCTATTCAAGGGACCTCTAACTTCCTTCTCTTCTCTCTCCTAATGTGCTCCTTACATACGTCACGTTACATATATACTTACCCAATGAATGTTTCTAATGTTATATATATATATATGTGTGTGTACCTTTATTTCTATATGTTTATAAGGCATTCCTTTGTTTTTTTTTTTTTTTGTTTTTTCCTATTTATTGATACCCATCCTAATGGTTCTGGCATATCACCAATAAAAAACAATATCATATCAACGCAGAAACAACAACAATAGCAACAACACATTGCCATCAAAGCAGATTCTAACAGTTAACCCTCAACACGGTAAACTGTATGACCTATGCCATAAGTTCCACAACAACAAAACATATATATATACATATATATATATAGAATAAACCTAGATGTATATATGTATATGCTGGAGCCATGCATGGCATTCACATAACACACTTATATGGTATCACACATAAACATAGCACTATCACCGACAACTGGTACTATGTTCTGCCAATTTACCCGGACCTAAACATAAAATCAAATTTGAAGAACCGTTCATTTGTTAAATGTTACTAACAAATAAAATGATGTCAAGTTGAATTGTTCGTAATATGGTTTCTCGTGTTACACTTTCGCACAGGTGCACATTTCCAAGGAGTATCTACAGCTGGAACCAATTGGTCTGGTTTTTGTGTTCTTCTTTGCCCTAATTTTGGTTATACAATTTACTGCGATGCTGTTCCATCGATTCGGCACACTTTCGCACATCTTGGCCTCTACGGAGTTGAATTTCTGCAAAAAGAAATCAGAAGACCTAACGCAAGATCAACTTATAGACAAGGTGCTTATAAAAACAAACAAACAAACAAACAACAATTAATTTAATAATAATTTTTCCCAGCACGCTGTGGAGATTGTCAAGAATCTGCAACGCTTGCAAGGCATTGATGGGGACTATGATAATGACTCGGGCTCGGGGCCCGATCGCATAGCACGCCGCAAAACCATACAAAATTTGGAAAAAGCACGGCAGCCACGACGTCAAATTGGCACCTTGGATGTGGCGTTTAAGAAGAGGTTCCTTAAGCTAACAGCCGATGCGGAGAACAATCCAGCGACACCGATACTGACACGTCGACTGACCATGCGAGCTGAGACCATACGAGCTCTGGAGGTGAGAAAGAACTCGGTAATGGCGGAACGACGCAAATCGGCTATGCAAACGTTGGGTGCCAAGAATGATTATGGAATATCTACGGTGCCACCGGTAAGGATTACCACGATCTTTAGCATATCATTTTTAACAATGCGATTTCTGATCACTGATTAGCTCAATAACAATGGCGCCTTGCCCAATCCGCGTAGCGGCCGCGTGTCCAATGCCGGCATCAGCATCAAGGATGTGTTCAATGTGAATGGTGGACCAGCCGAAGTGAGTAGCAGGCATAATGCATAATGTGGATCAATCAGCATTTTAATACTTTAACATTGTATCAGCAAATTTATGGTTCCAATGGCGGCGGTACCATTAATCAAGGCTACGAGCATGTCATCGACGAAGATGGCGACGGTAACTCGCTGCGTTTGACCACACGGAATCCGCATCCGCAAGTGTCTTGGGGTCAAAATGTGAATGGCAATAATACGGGGCGTTTGTAAACTACCTATGATCAGTAAAACTCTAAAATCTTTCTAGTTTAGCGTTAAGTAAGCAATTTACAATTTATAGTCAATACATGTATTGGTTACTTGTATATATAATGGACATTGCAGGAGCCTTGTCAATACACAACGAATATTTGCTAAGCTAATCACACTGCCAGTGTACTTTTCGAATAGTGTATTGTAAGCCCAATGGGCAACAACATTCAAATTCTATATATATATATATATATATATATATATATATACTATATCACTAGTTAGGCTAGACTTAAGAAATTGTGATGCTGGCGCCCCATTTGGGATTGTCGACTTGACCACAATACCAGTGAATGCCGACACATAATACTCATTGTAAAGCTGATTGTAAGTGCAGCAATAAAAACCTATTTACATGCATGAATCTTTTAAATAACTGAATTTTTGTGAATTTTTGTAAACAATAAAGATACGAGTTTGAGTGTAAAAGAATGACAATCTTATCAAAAGTAAATTGTTCATATTTGTTTTTCTTTTTGGCTTTAAGCCATAGTTTATTCTGAATAACATTATTTCCATGGGTTTTTGGTAGCTGCTGTGAGCTATATATATGCATGTGGGACAACATTTAGAAACGACTATGATAAATAATGGTGGACAAATAATGTCTTTAAATATGTCCAAACTAAAGAAGCCAACAAATATTTAGCTGGCCAAGTAATGTTGTGCTAGTGTTAGTTATTTTTAGGATGTTTAATTGAAGAGCATGTTGCCCTTTTTAGCTGCAATTGGTAGACGGTCGCCTGGACCGACCTGTAGAAAAGGATTGGGTATAGGATCCATTCGAAGCCCTGGCATATGGCCAGCCTTCTTGACAACGCCGTTGGCATTGTCCAGGACATTATCGTTGCCAAATTGATGCAATAGAAACTTCTCCACAGCCGAATTTAAATCGCCGTTACCAGCACCAACGCCAGCGGCATTTTCCTGATCGGCGCAATCAAACATATGCTCGCTGTCACACGTGCACTCCTGGGCAGCCTGAAATTCGCGGCTATAAATGGCTGTATTATCAAAATCACTGATGCAATTGCCGGCCTGTTGTTCCACGTCATAGCCCTCGGGACAAGGATTGGGCGGATTGCAATAGGCAGGCAGGCTGGCATCGGTTTTAACTATAGTGTTGTAACGATTTGGCACCTCCCCCATACCGCCCGACACGTATTGATGTCCCCAAAGCGAGCTGTGCTGCAAGAACTCCTGATCCCGTATCGAAGGATTTGCATTGGCCGACTGCAGCAAGCAATCGTTGCCTCCGTTGCACAATCTAGCGTATTCCGAACGCGATACCAAATCCACATTGTCCTTGGCGGCAGCAGCAGCCGCTGCGGCCAAATCTCCTTCATTGTCCACATCGTAGTAACCCACCTGCATATCATTATCCATACGATTTAGCAAGTCGGTAAGCAGGACATCTGCAAAAATGCTGTCCTTGGAGTCATAGCCACGCACTTGAGAAGTACTGCCCACCAGCAAAATAAAGCATCCAAGCATCATGCCGAAAGCTAAATTGTATTAAAATGCACTTTTCCTTCAGTATCTGATAAGTATAGGCACTATTTTTTCATGTGCAAACTTACCCTTTGACTGGGATAGCATATTGCGTATTTTGTAGAACTCGTATCGCTGCTTACGTCGGAGTTTGCAGTCTTATTGATTTTTCGGCTGCACCAGCTGTATTACCGTACCTGTATGTATAACTATATTGAGCTGGTCACTGTGAACTGGTGGCAACTAGTTGAATACGCTGAATACACACAAAATGCTTTTTGTACCCCCATTTATAAGGCCACTTATGTTGTTGAAAAGCGGCCTCCCAGGCGCAGGCGCCTTGCCGAAAGCTCTCTCTTGTTAACGTTATGTTAAACAAATCTTCTGTTACTGACTTACTTTAACAAGCATATTTGTAATTACAAATTATACTTATTTAAATACTGGAAATATAAACTAAATAATCTCCGTTTCCTCCTCTGTCTCCCCATATAGCATATCAATTTCATCCTGCATTTGCTGGACAGTGCGTTTATGTGGATATGTATTTGAGTGCGCTACGAGATGTTTGCGCATTGTGAAGTCCATGTTACAAGGCTCGCACCTGCAAGGGGAAGACTGTATGCAGTATACTGTCGTATCAAACATGTATGTCATACCTAAATTTCCGCATTGCATGGCTAGTGGAATGCGCCCGTAGCTCGGATACGCTAGTAAAAATCTTATCGCATTCTAGACAAGGGTATGGTCTCTCATTGATGTGTGCTCTGCAAGATAATTGAATATTGGTTATTGATAATTGAATTTGTAAATTGTAAGCCAGAGGTACCACTTACTTCTCATGGCGCTGTTTGGCGTTGTGTTCTAGAAATGTTTCGCCGCAAGTTGCACACTTGAAATTGCGCTCTCCGGAATGTTCTTCCCGTCGATGGAGTTTCAACGCGATCCTGGTTTTGAAGGTCGCCGGGCATTTGTAACAGGGAAAGAATTTCTTTGATTCTTTGTTTTCCAAATGCCCCTCTTTGTGCTCATTGTAATCGTACTCATTCTTAAAATATTCTCCACATTCTTCACATATAAAAAAATGCCGTAATCGCTTAGCGGGCCGTTTGTCTTCCAACAGTACCCAATGCCGTTTCTCGCTTCTCGACTGATCCTCATTCGCGTTCTCTTCTACATGTCCAGTTTCTGCAACTTCATCCTCAGTAATCTCTGCACTCATTTCCTCAAACAGATTTCCAACATCGTTATCTTCTAAAAACTGCACATCCTCATCAATGTACTCCAGCTGTTCCTCATCGATCAAGTCCTCGTATAGCTCCCGTTCGGCTGTGTTTACTACAAATTCTTTGCGGACCTTTGTTAGCATTTCCTCCAGATACTTTTGCGAAAAGATACAGCGCTCGCGAAACTTGATGGCCAAATCAAGTTCGGAGTAGCATCGATCGCAAATAAATTTGGGCAAGCCTTCGTTCATCGACAGCTACAACAAAGCAAAACAAAGATTAGTTTATTGCACGACATAAGCAAAATTTTCCCGATTCCTCCCTTACCTCGACTCCAGTAATGAGCTTCAGATTTTGCAGTAACTTGCCCCGCAAATAATTAAAGATATGCCGCTGGCGCTTCTTGTCCTTTATTTTGTTGGCACACACGCGGCAAACTTCGTGCAAGTTGCTTTCCTCATTGTCCATTTTAGCTAAAATGTCAAAATTGTTTATGTCTCTGTTTCCGTCTTTGCCTGTTAAAGAGGCTGGTTCTTTGTTAACAGGTCGGTACTATGCTATTTACAGCAAGCAGCAATTTTAGGTGAAAATATTGTCGTTACTTCTATTTGATTGTGCAAAAAAATTTAAAAATAATTTTTTGGGTGTGTTTATTTAAACTACTAAAAGACAGGCTGTTAGTTGCAAGTTAGTTATGGCAAAAAGAGATAAAAGTATAGATGAACAGCTAAAGTTAGCATCAACAGAATTACAAATGCTACAGCTGCTTTCTTGCGGGCCAGAGATGGACATAATATTTTCGATTAACCTATCGATAAATATAAATATTTTGACATCTTTTGCAAAATTGCATGAAAACAAGAAACATATTTTGCGCGGGACTTTTGTTAATGTTGCTGACTAGACAGTAACTAAACACTGCAATCATGTCTAGCGAAGGGACAGGGACCTTGAGCTCCAAGTGGACGCGGCCCGATGATGTATAAAGAACGTCTTGAAATATGACTGCAAGGCTTATTAATATGTTATTAATTTCAGTTTATAAAACTACAAAGATTAAAGCAAAAGAAGAAACAACTAGCAGCACGTGTGAGCAGTAACAACAATAAGCGTCCCGAATTGGATGAGAATGATAAGTGCAAGCTGCTGGAAGCCAAAATAGCCCAAAAGCGCAAAAACCCATTTGCCAAGTGAGTGTTTTATTTCAATCAGCTGCTTGGCTCCAAATACAGTCATCTACAGATTCACAGATGGCGCCAAAAAACATAAACATGATGACCCACACGTTTCAAGTATTTCCGACGTTCAAACGTCATTGACGAACAATTTAACGTGTTTGACCTCAAAACGCTCGCCACCCGCCACATTAGTGCTACAGAAATTTGATGCTCAGGCTTTTGCCAAACTATTGCACCAGGCAAAGGTCACCCAAGCAGATGAGGAAAACGATGCTGCACTGGCTGCTCGGCAAAAGCATACAGTACATCTGCCTATAGACTGGTGCCTTAAGACACGGGTTCGGTTTTTCTGTCCTACGGAACTTCCCGCTACCCAGCTAAAAACCTCACAACTGGCCAGCGGGTTGACAAGCTTTGTGCGTTGCTTCGACACACATCATACGGAGAGTACGTTGGACATATCAGATGCCACGCGATTTAATCAATGCACGTACTATTGGCAGCATCCGCATTTGCCTTGGTTAACGCTATATCCACGCAGTGCCAAAGAGAATAACGGCATCACAATTGGCGAGCGGGAGCGCAAGGCCCTGGCAGAAGAATGGGATTATAGCTTTCGCGGACTTTTCCAGCTTCTGCGAGCACGTCAGTGTCCGTACTTTTATTTGTGCGCTAACTCTTTCACTGTGCTCTTTCGAGCAGCAGGCAGTGGCGGACGCGCAGAAACACACGCCCTTGTTACACCGTCTACTCGCGGTATGCGCAGCGCTCTTCGACAGGAAGGCATTGAGTACAGCATGCCACTCAAGCAGCAGAATGCGGCAGATGGTGTCATTTCGAATAGCAGCTTCACAGAGGAGAGCGAGGGAAACATAATCGATTGCGGGACAAGCGTTACGGTTGCTAATTGCCAGGCCGAAGATAATGAGCATATTTCCGACCAGGATGATGACGACGATGCTTGGCTGGAAAGCTTGGGCGTGGATGAGCGCGAGTTACGGCGCATACAAACCACTCACGCTAGGAGATTGCAGGCAGCCGAAATGAGCGAGGATTTTAGTGATAATTCGCTGCTGCTAATCGAAGGTGTAGAGTGCCAAGGATTCTTCAGCTACTTGCTGAATGCCAAGAGTACCATCACCAGTGTTGGTCGCTTGGCAGGTGTCCCGCCTACGCTTCTGGCCCCCGTAGCCTTTCCAAAAGCTACGATGCAGAATTTGGTGCCGCGCTCCAAAAAAGTGCGGCTTGACGGCGTCGATTACTATAGCATTGATATCAAGGGACTGTTGCTGCCCACATTCCTGCCTAGCGTTGCAATGTTGTTGTGCGAGACGCGTCAGACGTTCAGCGCCACGCTGGCCAGTAGTATTAATACTCTGGCTTTTACCAAAGCTACACAGAAACTGTTGGAGACCACGCCCGCCGAATCTAAGGCAGCGGAACAAGAGGCCGGCGTCTCTGGACAGGTTTTTGGAGAGCAAAATCTTTCTGAGTGTGGCCTACTGCCCGCCGTAGTTGGTGCCATCTGCAGGACAGGTCAACATGCAGTTGGCCTCCTGGAACGTATCTGTTATCAGCAGGGCGAGGGGTATGCCTGGAGCTGACTTAATTTGCATCTTTTTTGAATAGTTTTTATATATATATATTATTTTTTTTGGGGGCTTGGTATTTATCTATGTTTTTTCAAATGTAATAAATTTTTTTTAGAGCTATTCTGTTCTTACATCTAACCATGCTAGTTATCCACCATGATAAGCTCGTCTATACTCCAATCCTCGTACGAGTGATCCGGCAGAAAGCGACGTATGATAATTGGAATTTTCTTCTGCTTTAGTTCTTTCATCGCAATCTGTAGTGGATCCGTCTCTCCATCCAGCTCAACCATAATGGGTGCGCACATTGCAATCTGAAGTGCTCGCGTGCCTAAAACACGCGCGCGCTCGTATTTCGTCATATATTTAGTGGTGATGCGTTTGGACTTGGGTACACCACCGCCTCCTGCGCCACCTGGTGCAATAATCTCAATATTATCCACTTCTTCCTCCTGAGCGATATCCTCATCCACGTCCTCATCGACATCATCGAAATCATCACCGCCGACACTGAAAAAAGAGTAGAAACCGTATAAATTGTAAAAGCGATAAATAATGGAAGGATGCACGTACTCATCATTATCATATTCCCCGTCATCCATTTTTTAAAGATTGTTCAGAATTCACGAACAGCGCACGCTTCTTTTTTGTTATTCCCTTAATGCTTCGATTACTGTGATTGGTCGATATCTGACCGATAGATTGTGCTTATCGACCGCTGTGTCGCGGTATTTATTTTAAAGCTTGTTATGCCTTGATTATGGTGGTTGGTCGATAGGTGACCGATAGTCCGCTTTCTTGTTTTTCTTGCGTCCATTCAAATTTTCAAATTCACTTTGGGCATTGTCTTTCGGCGGCTGGGCAATTCCGCTGTGGAGGATAACGACTGCGTCGTGTTGGTACAAATTGTGGATATAGACATGGTCGGCGGGAATTTGCATATAAAGGGCGATTTGAAAAGGCATATGGTTGCCTACAGTTTGCTGCGTGTCCTGGTTCATAATCATAGTCCACGCACGTGCGAATGCTGACATTTCTTCGACGACCATAATTGTCGCGATCGTATCTATTTAAATCAAAGTTATCCAATGGATCAGCTTCTGGCATTTGTTGACTACGGTCATAATCATAGTAGGGATCAAACGGTTCGTCATTACAGTCGTTCATTCTCTGAACCACAGGTGCGTAACAATCAGCTTGAACATAATGATTCGAACAATTAGGTTGATAAGGCGGCAGTATAAGTGCAGGTTGTACGGGTGAAAACTGAGCCGGTGGACAACGAGATCGCTGTGGTTCACTCATCCGGTATCTAGGCAGACCGCACGATGGGATTTCCGGCAATGGCTGCCTGACGGGATAACATGTCAGTGGGGCGGGCGGCGGGAGAGGTTCCGGTGGCGAACAGCAGTCAATTGTACTTGTGGACGTTACCCGACGGCATGGTCGCCTGAAAATTGGTTCTGGCGGTGGACAACAGCACTCTGAATCTACGCTTGAGGAACACCCTTGACGGCATGGTGGCCGCTGTCGTTTGGCAACAGGTGGACTGCGAATGACAAAACAATTCCGGCTGCGTTTTCTACACATGTCTCTGTGAGTCCCGTGCCAAACGTCACTTTCGGGATGACATCCCTGGCGATAGGGATAATTAGCGTACCTGCGCTGTATGTTACAAGGCGCGGCGCCGAAGCCGAGGCGATTGCCTAAACGGAACAGAAATATGCAATTATTAATAAATAATAAACAAGGCACCGCGCTGCAGCTTGGGCGATTGCCTAAACGGAACGGAATAATATGTAACTATTAAGAGCTTTGTTTGGATTGACTTGCCCATTAGCAATCACATTGGGTTCAATGCCGGAAGTCCTTAGGATTGCTTAGTGTTTGAATGAAAAACTGAAAATTTTGCTAACTGTGGATGTCAGTAATTTACAAGCAGCCTCTTTAGTTTCTCCATTTGTAACGCCTGCTATGCCGATTATTTTAGAGTATAAAGCTTATTCCCGTTCCGATATCATTGTTCCGAGATATAACCTATTGTATGCTGCACTTCCGTTTCTGTTTGCGATCTTGACAACCGTAATACTGATTGGGTGGCAACTCGGGAAGAGTTCCGCTTCTGCAAGGAATCCGTATGATCTCTGGTTGCAAAGCCCGTTGTTGCTGTAGTTGTTGTTGTTGTTGTAGTTCATGGAATGGAGTACATCGGCAATCTCTAGGCTCTGAAGGCTCGCTAGGAATATTTGACTGGGACATCTTACTCTTGGGTCTTGATGGGTGTAGTTAACAATGAAATAGATTTCACCAGCATCAGCTTTTAAGATGGAATTTAGCTTCTTTTTTTTTTGTTTTTTTTGTTTCCTAGCAATTTACATTTGGAGATATTTTTGTTCTGCAGCCGACTTGAATTTTGAAATTTTTCTAAATGATTTGGAAAAACTAAAAATATGGTGATTATGTAAAGCCAGCTTTGATTACTTGAATATTGTAAATTTAGCATTGCGACAACTGCCTGCGCCGGAGTCTATTGAATAACGCATCGCTTTTTTGAGTTTCGCCTGCAATGTCGGCACTGGGCTTGGTTTCGGGGCCTTTGATAAACAGGTGCGGGTGGCGGCCCATACCTTATAGCACAGTGTTGACCCTGTGGACCGCCGCATGGTTGTACGGTTGGTATATTCGCTCCACATTGCATATTCGTTTCGATAATGGTATGGCTTGGAGCGCAGCGGCATCCTGCTCCAGTATTAGGCTTAGAGTCCTGTATCCTTAAGTCAGACATAATGGGCCTTTTTAACTCTTACTTGTACCGAAACGATAAAGCTAGCGCAAGGACTGCACTTGATATTGGGATGACTCCGGTCGCATTAGCAATCACATTTGATAATTTTTTATTTTATAAATTTCCTAAATAAGCATTATGCGTAAATTGTGAGAATATTAGAAAATTTTTGTTCATTCGCCGACTGAGCATCTGGTTCGCCTACTAATCTGTCCTACTCTGATAGCATTCCAAACGAGTTGACATTTATTGAATGCTGCACTTCTTTTTTTTCTGTGTTCGACAATGCGAACACGGCGCGCGCGTCTGTTGATTTGTATACTGTGCGTGGGGCTGCGCCTGGTTTCGATAAGGAGTCGCCTGGCCGCAAGTAATGTACGCATGCGTTCCCTGCTGAGTTTCTGCCTTTTCACGATCTAGTGCGAGCTGCTGCTGCGACGGTGGGGGTACAACTGCTGGGCTGCACTCGCACTGGGGCGGGGCAAGTTTTGCTTTACATGTGCAACGCTCCTCGATCGGCACAACTACTGCCTCAGGCTGATTTCGTGGTCGAGAGCATGTGTATGAATCAGCGAGCGGCGCCTGCACCGGGGCTGTGTTTCGTCTATTACTTTTGCTAGTGACGCAATGGCATTCAACTCTGGATCTCACCCCTTGTTGCGGTTGAACATAACCGCTTTCATGATGTTGTATCTGTTGGCATTGTTGCGGCGCTGTTAGCTGCTGTATTTCTTGTTCTTGTTGAGGAGGTGGCTGCTGTCGCGGTGCCTGATTCGACTGACCACACGGACATGTGTTACACTTGCCACAAGGAGAGCCTGCCACAATAGTTACCAACTGAAGAAATACCGAGAGTTAATAAATCGTAAAAATTACTTACTCATATTGTGGCGGCAAAATAGAACACGAAAATTTATATTGCTTTATTGCATGACAAAATGAGAGAATGAAAATGACTGACATATTTTGAATTACTTTCATATTGGGTGTTAAGAATACAATATTTTTTTTTTAAAGAAACTCAGTAAATGTGTTTTAGGTTAAAGGTTTTTCAAGTTTGCAGACTAAAATTACTCACAATTATACCGTTGTACAAGTCTTTTGCTACCAGTTGGTATTATCACTGCCACATTTTTGTGGAAAGCTTTTTTGGTATTATGTGGCTGACGATCACTGGTCACATTGAGCTTTTTCATTAGTATTTTGTTTGGGTTTTCCGAGAGAGGAGCACGTTCAATGCTTTACAATTTAGCGACCTGAGTATTTCTTGCATTGCGGTTGTGGATTTACGTTGGTAATTTCTTATAATGTTGCGTTTTTTGTAAAGGCTGTAAAAGTTGCGGAAGTGAATGGAGTAAAGTATACGGTATATATTTCAATTGCAATTGGAAAACGTTTAATATAACCGCCGTTGATACAACCTGCATTCGATTGTATGCATCGTGTGTGTGTGTGTGTGCAAAATTGCAATGCGTATCGAATTAGCTTGATTTTCCAAAAACATAACTGCAAAAATTAAAATCAACTGTATGCATCAATGATTGCATGGATATACGGATATTTCTTCAATGTACAAGGTAATTTGCCCTATTGAACATGAACAGTAACCCACTACCGGTATTCCCACTGACAAAAACAGAAAAATAAGTACACATGAACCTAATGAACACATTAAGAATGTGTTGAACTGAAGCAGACAGTGCGTAGGCAAAACAATTTGGAAATATGTAGATGTGTACATGCTATCTATATATGCACATATGTACTTAAATAGCTGCGCTGTTGTTGCTGCTCTCAGCTGTGTTCTGATAACGGTGCTTGGCGTAATGTTTGTGTGCCCGCTCTAAATGACTCTCCAATGTTCTCATGACTGTTTATGTATTCGTAACTGTGTTAAGTATAACAGCTTTGTTTTTTTGTCTTATCCAAGCGTGGCCATATCTATCCCTGTCTCGCTTTCGCTGATTTTCCATTATTCTGGCTAATATCTTAATATAAATCATGTCTGGTTGTAGAATATTTTTGGACTGCGTGTCAGCTAAAAATAGGTAAAACGCGTCCACTTTACCGGTTCAAGTGAGTCTGTAAATGTTTTCTTTTCAACTCTGAAAGCTTGTTTTTGTTGTTGTAATGATTCCAGAATGTTTTCATTTATAATCCTTATACAATATCAAATTTTATCCCCCTGGTACTAAAATAGGTATAGTGTGAAATTCCGTTCAATGTTATCCTATTCAGTTTTATCAATTAGGTTTCGCTGCAACTTTATCTGACATGCCTTCCTCTATTCTAGTTCATTAGTTTTTTTTAATCATTGTCGCTATCTTATCGGTCACATGCACTTATATAAATTGATAAGCAAGCGGCTTGCTAAGTGCTAAGGAACTTCAATGTTTTTGTTTAGTAACAATAAATGTACTTAATTATAGAATACGATAATTGCAATATTTTCTATCTGAGGCTGACTCGTTTACAGCCCTCTAATGCAGCGTCCGCTGAGATATTATCGAAATAAACGGTTAGCGTGCGCTTTTTAAACAAAATAGATTTGTCAAAACAAAACTCTCGATTTGTATAGCTTTTAAACAAAAGTAGGTGCTACAATGTACTCTAGTATATTAGAGAATATTTTTATATTTTTAAAGTTATAGCAATTGTTCATGGCATGTTTCTCGTGCCTCTATATAAGTAATTTTTGCTTTATTCATTTAAAATATAATTAATTTTTGGCATGCAGTCAAGAAGGGCGTGCCAGACACTTACAAAAGAAGAAAAATACACAAACAAATCATTTTAATGGGTTTTAAGACATTTTTGAAAATTGCAAACGACAAGGTTAATTAACAGCATTGAATAAAAATTGTAATTATTTAAGATATATGTAAATACTTAATATATAGGTGATACTTAAAAAGCATCTACTATGCTCTGTGCTTAAAAAATTGCTAGCCGGAAATGCGCACAAGAATAGGCAAAACTAAACTTAAATGTCATTTGCATAGACTAAATACAAATGCGGTTATAATTTAGACTTGAAAGGCCTTCAACTCTACTAATACTAGTATCCAATCTACATACATATTCGGTCAGGCGAGTCGGGCACTTCAAAAATGAGTATACGAAAAAACTTGTTGCAATTCAAGGCGAAGGTCAAAAAGCTGCACGCCCTGAGAGGAGAGCAGAGCAGTAGAGAGAAGACGAGAGAAACTCGTTTTGGAACAACATTTTTACGGATGTTGTTGTTGTTGTTGTTGATTGTTGGTGCTGGCGCGCAGCTTCCTAAATTATTCCAATATTCTACAATATATAATACGGTATTGTCGCTCATAACCTTGATCGTAAGCGTGCTTCGTTTATGTGGTCTGAACTGGTAAATTCTGAACTCTATTTTTATACCCTGTACCCATTAATATCACATTCGATGTGCTTGATGTTTAAACATATTCTATATATGGATATATACATATATAAAAATATATAGATAAATATACTTATACATGCTTAATTTCTCAAATGTATAATAGATACTGAGACTTTAGACTTCAGGTAACGCCTAGTCGATCACTCTTAACTTGTTTTTGTGTGTCTATCTAATTAGCAGTAACAAAGGTTAGTCATATTTGAGACCCTTGTGCGTTATGCTTGGTGGAGGCCAGTCTCAGTGGCACGACTTAATAAGCATTAAACATGTGTGTATAATATGTTCTAAAATATTGCAAAAGCCAAGGCCCAGGTGTGAAACCAAGAGAGCCGTTTTGGTATAATCATATGTATCTCCATTTCGCTATTCCAGTTGCGAATTACATGGGACATTGGCATGTCATTTATAATATTGATTCGGTTGGTTGCTTATCAGCAGCAAATATCGGGAATAGCACATTGCGTCGTGGCAAAAACTAAATGAATACTATATTTTTATAGCCCACTGACCATGTATTATGGAGCGTACTTGTATAGAAAATAATCAAGTAAGATATATATATACATATCATGATCAGTTTCATACATCCGAATATAATATAGAGAATATTCAAAATCGATTAAAAAAAAATGTGTGTGTAATATATACGTTTTAGTATCCGATATTATTGAATCGAAATAAATATATGTTATGGATATATGCTAACGATATTCAAAAACATTTTCGATTTTGCTGCTATAGGTCTATTATTATGTTTTATATACATATATGCTTATACACTAGCTCAAAATAAGCAGAAAGCCACAATCTTTAGTTGCAATGTTCGAGTCATTAAAAAGAGAATGGAGCTGAGATTTACCGCAATGATTACCCGTCTCCACTCGCAATCAGGCCGTCTAAAGCAAAGTTCAAGCGAGTACGTAATTCTAATGGAAACCTGTTTTTCTCGCCATTGTCTTGCAGAGACAAAGTGATTCGAAGATGACGCAGAGCGGCAGCACAGAGTTTACCAAGACGACAGTTGCCGCTGCCGCCACTTGCTGCTCCTCAGATGTGCTGCTTAACAACTTCCAGCTGAAAAAGAAGAGCTACCGCGTGCTGCTTCATGGTCAGAGGCTGGTTTGGGAGCGCATGCAGTGCCAGTCAAAGGCGAAACAGTCGCGCCAGAACGAGACGCAAAAAAGACCGCTACCCGAGGATTCTGTATACGAGCAACAACTGGCTGGCGATGGCACCTGCAGCTATGGCCCGCACAGCCATATTTTGCACATAGATGACATCATTAGCGTATGTTCTGGCCACACCAAACACGAAAGCCGACAGCCCCCATCTAACCAAAACATGCATCATGGGGATGGGGATATGAAGCCCACAGCACAATTTTTGACCGTCAATTATGCAGAACGTCTGAGCAAATCCAAATCGGACTGCAATCGCTGGCAGCTGCGGCGCATCACCTTTTATAATTCAGATGCGTACATTGTGCGTCAATGGCAGTTGCAGCTACAGGCACGCATAAAATCCTCGCCCGTTGGAGGCCAACGTGTGCAACGCCTGCTGGTTTTCATCAATCCATTTGGTGGGCGAAAGGCGGGCGCTCAAACCTATGAGCGTTTAGTGCGACCGCTTTTCCAGCTGGCCGGCATCGATGTCACCTGCATAACCACCCAGCGTGCCAATCAAATCCGCGATATACTGCTCACTCACGATCTTGGCTGCTATGACGCCGTGTGCTGTGTGGGCGGCGATGGTACCGTGGCCGAGGTCATAAACGGTCTTGTGTTTCGGCGCATGCGAGAATTGGGCTTGGATGAGCAGAGACCAGCCTATATACCACGTCCCAGCCTGCCTGTGGCTGTGATACCTGCGGGCAGTACGGACACCATTGTCTATAGCATGCACGGCACGGCTGATGTGCGCACTGCGGCCATTCACGTGCTGCTCGGCCAGAGGCGCGGCCTCGACGTCTGCAGTGTGAGCAACAAACGCACCCTTCTGCGGCTCTGTGCCAGTGTCCTGAGCTATGGGTATCTGGGCGATGTAGCCGCCGAGAGCGAACAATATCGCTGGATGGGAACACGGCGCTATGAGTATAGCGGCATCAAGGCGTTTATTAACAATCGTGGCTATGACGCGGAGCTGCAACTGCTTGAGGAGCCCACAGAGCCGGAAACGCCACAGAGCCCGGTCAGTGTTTGCACTGACTCTCCCTCCGTGTGCTATGCAAATTGCCAGCGCTGCAGCATAGCTAGTTCCCTACAGGAGCATCGCCCTGCATTGTTTACCGCTGATATAGAACGAAGGGAAGAGCAAGAACTACAGCCAGATCAGCACGAGCAGCTGCATCCACAGCTGGAATCACAGATAGATCTACCTGTCGGTGTGCCCGTTATGTCAAATCGTGAACTGCAGCTGAACACAAGTGAATCGGCACTGTTGCGCCCACGGCCGATACGTCCGGGCAGTCTACCGTTGCAGCCCGGCGGTTCCTTTGGCTCCAACCTGAGCCTGCCCGGCGGCCTGCAGTGGAAGATTATTCGTGGAAATTTCTTTATGATTTGCGGCGCCAACATCACATGTGCCTGTGCCCGCAGCCCCAATGGCATCTCGCGCTATAGTCATCTAGGAGATGGCTGCCTTGATCTGATTCTGGTACGCAAAACTACGTTGCTCAACAATGTGCGGTTTTTGTTGAATACTGCAGGCCGAGGAGGCGACATTGTAAGTACTCATCATATACATCGCTATAAAGAATATAAACGTAACATGCTTCTCCAAATTATTGCAGCGCAACCTACCTTTTGTAGAAGTCTACCGGACGCGTAAGTTCATTTTTCGCACATTGACAGCGGTCACAACGGAGGAAAGCCTTAGTATTGCCGGTTCCCGTCAACCAATTGCCCAAAGCGGCAATGACACGGTCAGTTCGGAGTTTTCTAGCTGGAATTGTGATGGAGAGGTTGTCACAGATCTAGATATAACAATGAGGCAAGCATGCAATGATATATAAAGTATTAAAATTCATCTTTTTAACTTACTTTTGATTTTTCTGCATACAGCTCCCATTGCCAGCTCATAGATGTTTTTATGCGTGGTCCACATTCCTATAGTAAGCCTCCAAAGGCAGGCGTTAGCGCGCCCACAACCCCAGCTAGCTCAAGCGATAATGTGTATTGTTGTTGCAAGGATTAGTTCTTAATAAGCAATGCTTTAATTTAGTAGGATACTAAAAATTGGCCGTGACAGTAGAATGTAATGTAGACTACTTTACTATTGCATAATCGAGAATTTTTATATATTATGTATGTTAAATGTTTTTTAGTAGTTAGCGAACTGTATTCTCTGCAATGATATTCTATTCATCTGTATTATGCCATCTGTAAGATGCAAGCAAAATATTTAAACATTCCCTAAAAGGTGTGCATTAAAAAAAATATATATATATTTGTATATTCTATTGAATTATACTACCTCTAAAAATAAAGGTGAGCATGTATTTTTAATCAAAATTGTATTTTTCTTGCTTTGCTTCAAAATTGTAAGATTAGAATTTCTAAATCTAGCGCGTTTTGCGCAGCGCCAGCTAACTAATCGTTGTGACAGAGTTGTCGCCACATCGTTTGCTCCATCAGGTTGCCCTAGCCTGTGTATATCGATAGCTGCGTATATTGATAAAAACGCCTTGCAGTGCTGCAAAGCTTAATAAATTCGTCGCTATCTAAAACTGTTCGGCTTTTATTTGTGCCTGTCATTCTGCGACTGCTTTTGCTGTTATTTCCATTTGATTTTAAAGTGCTATAAGTCTATATATTATAATGATGAACAACAGTTTCGCACAGCCGATGTGGGGAAATGGACCTTCGCCCGGCCAGTTCTACAATTTCATAGGGGGCAATGCCCCAACACAACTGCCGCGAGAATTAACAACCGCAGGACCTTTCGGTACCAAGCACAGCACGTAAGTTAATGCAGTTTGCACCGCCTAAAAGCTCTAGCACTTTTTACATTGTTAGCGCTGCAATTACTACGGGCTCCTCAGTGGTGGGTATCAAATTCGATAGTGGTGTCTTGTTGGCTGCGGATACGCTGGTTTCGTATGGCTCCCTGGCACGTTATCAGGATATTGAACGCGTATTCAAGATCAATAACAACATTTTGCTAGGTGGAAGTGGAGACTTTGCGGACATACAGTCTATCAAGCGGAACATCGATCAGAAAATGATAGAAGATCAGTGCTACAATGACGGTGTCATCATGAAGCCAGGGGAATTGGCCAGCTGGTTGACACGCGTGCTGTATAACCGTCGCTCGCGCATGAATCCACTTTACATTGATGTGGTGGTCGGTGGTGTTGATGAGACCGGTAAACCCTTTCTGGGTAATGTTGATATGCGAGGACGGGCCTATACTGATTATGTAGTGGCCACCGGCTTTGGACGGCATTTAGCTCTACCGCTTGTCCGGGAGCGCAAGCCCAAGGATCGCGATTTTACTTTCGAGGAGGCAACCAACTTGGTAAGCAAACAACAAGCAAAATACTATTGATTAAAATTAATACATTTTTTTTTATAAATTGCAGATTCGGGAGTCAATGAAGGTGCTGTACTACCGTGATACGCGCAGCATTCCCCAATACACGGTGGGCATTTGCACTGCCGCCGATTGCAGCATAAAAGGTCCCTTTAAAGTGGAAGAAAACTGGACCTTTGCTGAAACCGTAAAGGGCTACTAGGCTGACTTTTCAAATACAATGTAATTTAAGAACCAAACACATTAATAAAGCCTGTAAGCTCTTGGAAATAACATAAATGATGTAGGGAATATCGTGAAGATTAACTTCCAAGGAATTGACGTTTTGAAAATGAAGCGCATGTGAGAAAATTCTTATAGAAATTTTCTCAACTTTGAAGTAACATTCAGTTTGATCGTTTAAATTTTCTTATAGTTATTTGGTTATGTGAATTTATTTAAATTATAAAATGTTGCTAATAATATTAATTAATTTTGATCCAATTAACGAGACAAGCAGTGCTAAAGAGCAAATTCAAATACAATACGTAATTGCTGCCGGAATACATGTCTTTAAGTCGCCAACGGCTCCAGCACTTATGTTGCTGTTCAATTTAGCATGGTGTGGCGATCGTAGATGTGGCGCCGCTGTTCCCGCACTTGACGCTTCCATTTGTCCTGCTGATGTCCGACACGATTCAGAACATTGGCACGTGCGCTTAGCTCTTGATTGTTGGGATCAGCGGGCATAGGCGGTGTGGGTTCGTCCTAGGAGCCGCAGCAGAAAAAGAAGGAAATTTGAAGCGAATTAGTTGAGGCCGTTATAGGTTAATACATAAACAAAAAACATTGGTTAGCACATGCGTTTGTTAAAAGCATTAAATAAAATAAAACAATAAAGTATTTCTATATGTATCGTTTGGCAAACGGCATCAAACGTTGTGTGCTTCTTTATTGCCAACTAGCTGCGCCTCATCATCACTGTCGTCATCAACGGCAGGATTAGCGGCTAGTCGACTATATTTAATGCCTGCATATTTAGAATATTTGTTATGTACATCTTCATTGGTGTGCTCCTGATAATTGTTAGCCTTGACGCGTTTGTTAAGCAGTGGGTCCAAGCACATTAGGAAGAGCATGTATATCACTAAAATGGATATTATCCAAATCACAATGATGACAACGACCTAGAAAATAAAGAAATTAAGAACATTTTGGGCAACTTTGATACGATACTAGGACTATACACACCTTTATAAGTGTCGTATTGCGCGCTACATGGGAGCATTTACACTCGGCGCACATGGGAAGCTCCTTTCCATTGGCATCTACTTGCGGCAGCAGAGCTCCAACACAGGCACTAAATGTAGAACGGCATACATATATCTAAAATCTGTTTACGAGTCGTAATTACGGGACTACAAACCATTCACTAGGACTGCTACTTGTGTTTGCGCTTGTTGCCGTACTGCTTATGACTTTTGGAGTAGCGATTGCTGGCGCTGCAGTAGTTACTGCCGCCTTGCCAGGTGCATTAAGTTGACTGGCGTTGTTGTTGCTATTACTAATACTGCTGCTGCTCGTCAGTGTTTGTGTTGCTGTCTCAGCCTTTGTCAACGAACAAACACAACCATCATTAAAGTTTAGGCGTAGTAGGTATAACGTTGAGAATACTTACCCATGTCGCGCCAAGTAAATAACATATCGCCAGAAATGCAGCGTAGATGAATAAACGCTTATGTGCCATTAATTTCTGCTTAAGTGCAATTTTTTAACTTTCACAGAAAAATTACTGCATCATTTGCAGTGCTCTAAATGCGTGAAAAAATATCGCTTATTACATATCGATAAGCGCGACTATCCCATTTCTTTTCCGATACCAAGTACCAAAAACCGACGCTAAGTTACCGCCGCTACTTTGACCGCGTAGTTTTCGATAAATGTTATCGAAATCATTTAACGACATTTAAACCTGGTCCAGTCTATTCATTAACATAATTTTAAACACTTAAACTATTGATGGTGACCTTTTATTCTGTATATAATTTCTATATAGTAAATAGGACAATTGTCATTGCGATTGATTGCGATATATATTTATCTTGATAACTATTACCATTGCCAATCTCTGGCAACTCTGGTCGATGAACACAACAAGATGTGCGACAGTTGCCCGCGTCTTTTATCTTTTATTTATTTGTTTACATATTCCGATTCAGTTAATTAAGTTGTATAAATGTTAAAGCTGTGCGCGAGTCTACGCAATGTCCAGAAAACCCGTTAATCAGAACAAGCAACTATCAATGTCTGCATTCCTTGGCCTAGACAAGAATAGCCAGAGCCAATCGTCGCAATCACGAAAAAGTTGTAGTTCCCACAAAAAATATGAATTATATATAGGTAATGTAAAAGTATATATTTTGTTTTAGATGTTTTGGCAGCAAGGACAGCAAGAGCAAAGTTTTATAATCCCATTTATCTCGACTCATCGTCATCCGATGAAGATGGTGCACAGAGTCAGAGCCAAGTGCCATCTGCGACGACGCCGACTAAGAATAAAGCGCCAGATAAGGATGCCAATGGTAATGCGCTTATCAAACGATATAGCTTTGATAATGCTAACCAATCGCCTCTAGCACCACTGCCAACAAATGTTGCAGCCAAGAACAAAACTCCCACAAAGCCAGCCGTCGCTGGGGGCCTGAAATTAAACTTTGATAACTTCGATGAAGTGCTCAAACAAGATGCAACCTATCAGGCTACGTTATCAAAGCTCAATGGACACATTAATAAGCTGTCCGTATCACCACGTAAGGCACTGTCATTGTCCCAGTCCCCACTTAAATTGGATGCCATTGAATCACCAAAATTGAGCAATTCAAATGCAAGCAGCACCTTGGACGACAGCTTTGATGCGATGGTTAAGAAGACTCCAAAAGAGGAGCCTTTGTCTGACACGCCGACCCAGCTATTTTTGCCACCTACCAACTTGGCACTAACTGCTACCCAGTCAACTACGTCCAGCTCCGTGCCGAGTGTGCCGGAGAAACCAGAACCTGTGCCGGCAGCAACCACTGCCAAGCCCAAGCTTAAAATTGTATTTGATAACTCACTGGCCGACTATTTGCGTGATCTAGGTCAGTATGAGATAGGTATAGCCAAGACTGATTTTGGCCAGCAAAATGAGACAATGCTAAGGAACACCATGGGCCTGTACAAGTCCAGGTACATAGAGCTAATGGAGAAATACTGCGAGGTGATTGATCAAATACCCGCGGTTCATTTCAATGAAATCGCTGGCTTCGAGGCGAACACCTTTCTCAAGCTAAAGGTCATGCGTCAGAAGTTTAAGGCGCGCACACAACTCCTGGAGCGACAAATCGAGCGTAAACGTCAGCAGCGAGAAGCGCAACCAGACCAGCCGGACTTTGATGCATTGGAGCGGGAGGAGCGCGAGATGCAGGCGGAACAGCGGCAAACAAATGCGCTAACGCCCAGTAGCTGTGCAACGGGTCCTTCAGAGGATCCAAATGAGGAGGAGCTCAACGACCTGGTGTTAATGACAAAGCCAGCAACAACAACAAAAACAAATACAACAAGCAAAAGTTATGTTAATGATGCACCTGATGATTTGGACGACCTGGTGCCCATGGATGGTCCAACGCTGGAGTCGGATGAGGATGATTATCTAGCGCAGAGCATACGACTCGATGAGGAGGAACTTAGCACCTCAACACAATACGCTCCACTCGTGCCAGCTGAGCCGGCCAAGGCCACAACTATTGTTGATTCCGAAGATGATTTCGAGGACACGCTGAGGCAAATACGCGAAGAGCACGAGGCGCTACAGGGACGCAAATCGCAGTACAAGAACTATGCCTACGCGGACTTTGAGGCTGTCAAGCAGCCGTCTACAAAGGAACTAGAGCCTGCCCAACGCGTTAACTTTGCCAGCAAAACGCCTATCATTTTAGACGATGACGGCTTTCCAGAGTACGATCCGGCACTGTTTGAGCAGGCGCACAAGCAGGCGGTAACATCCAGCATTGACTTGACCAGTCACGTAGAGTTGCAGTCCAAGCCCAGCATAAGCCGCGCCAGCAGCTCTGCAGCTGCTGCACAAAAAATCGAGGCAAATTTCCATGCCAATGTGCATAATGATGGGATCACGGGCGAATTTGATGGCCAGAAGTTTGAGCATTCCACGCGTCTGATGCAGGCGCTTAGCTTTAGCTTTGGCCTAAAGAGTTTCCGTCCCAATCAGCTGCAAGTCATCAATGCGGCACTGTTGGGAAACGATTGCTTTGTACTCATGCCCACGGGTGGCGGCAAATCATTGTGCTACCAGCTGCCTGCTATACTTACCGAGGGCGTTACTATAGTTATAAGTCCGCTCAAATCGCTGATATTTGATCAAGTCAACAAGCTGGCTTCGTTGGATGTGAGTAGTGTATGGAGTTAACATAAGCTTTTGTAACATCATTTCAATACTTTGCAGATTTGCGCCAAGAGCATGTCCGGAGAGCAAACTTTAGATGAGGTTATGACTATATATAGGGATTTAGAGTGCCATCCGCCGCTGGTCAAACTGTTGTATGTGACGCCCGAGAAGATTTCCAGTTCGCCGCGCTTTCAGGACACACTCGATCAGCTGAGCGCCAACAACTATATCAGTCGCTTTGTCATAGATGAGGCCCATTGTGTTTCTCAATGGGGTCATGACTTCCGGCCCGACTACAAGAAGCTGGGCATTTTACGGAAACGCTTTCCCAATGTGCCATCCATGGCGCTGACGGCCACGGCTACGCCACGCGTTCGCCAGGACATATTGCAGCAACTGAATCTGACGCATTGCAAGTGGTTCCTGTCCAGCTTCAATCGCAGCAATTTACGCTATCAGGTGCTGCCCAAGAGGGGCGCCTCCACGTTGGACGATATACGCAGCTTTATACAAACCCGGGCAGTGACAGCCAGCGGCATTATCTACTGCCTGTCGCGCAAGGAATGCGACGAGGTGGCGCAGAAGATGTGCGCTGTGGGCATACGCGCAGTTTCCTATCATGCGGGCTTAACGGATGCGGCACGCGAGTCCCGCCAAAAGGATTGGATAACGAACAAGGTGCGTGTGATATGCGCCACAATTGCGTTTGGCATGGGCATTGATAAGCCCGATGTGCGCTTTGTGCTTCACTATTCACTACCCAAGTCCATTGAGGGCTATTATCAGGAGGCAGGTCGTGCGGGACGCGACGGCGAAATAGCCGATTGTATACTCTACTATAACTATAGCGACATGCTGCGCCTGAAAAAGATGATGGATGGTAAGTTGTGCTTTACATTATAAATTACAACTGTATTAACCGAACTGAATCTTCTCCCACGGCAGCTGATCGCGCGTTGCAGTACCATGTCAAGAAGATACACATCGATAATCTGCATCGCATTGTGGGCTACTGCGAGAATATCACCGATTGCCGTCGTGCCCAACAGCTGGACTACTTTGGGGAACATTTTACCAGCGAGCAATGTCTGGAGGATCGACGCACCGCCTGCGACAATTGCCTGAAGAAGCGCAGCTTTAAGCAAATCGATGCCTTGGAGCAGTGCCGTAAGGCGGCGTGCGCTGTGCGAGACTTGTGCAGCGGGCGCTCACGCTTCACGCTGCTCCATTTAGCGGATGTGCTCAAGGGCTCCATGATCAAGAAGATTGTCGAATTTGGGCACAATAAAACGCCACATCATGGTGCTCTTAAGGACTGGGATAAGTCAGATGTGCAGCGTTTATTGCGACATATGGTGCTGCAGGATTACCTCAAGGAGGATCTTATCTTCACCAAGGACATACCACAGGCGTACCTTTATCTGGGCAATAACATAACCGCACTTATGAATGGCACGCCCAAAATCGAATTTGCTCTGTCACGCAAGGAGACTGGCGGCTCCAAGACGGTGGCCACTGTCTCTGAACCCGCTGCAGGAGGCAAAAACGAAATGATTAATCTGCACGAGCGCTGCTATGCGGATCTGCTTGATTTATGCCGCACCATAGCCGCCGCGCGCGATGTAACCATGGCTAGCATTATGAATATGCAGGCCCTCAAGGCCATGGCCGAGGAGTTGCCGACCACGGAGCAGGACATGTGCTCCATACCACACGTAACCAAAGCCAATTTCGATAAGTATGGCGCTAAACTGTTGGAAATTACTAGCGGCTATGCCACAGAGAAGGAATGTCTGCAGGTCATGCACGACATGGAGGCAGCTGAAGCGGCAGCTACTGCGCCTGTGACACCGCAAGCTTCGAGCAGCGCGCGCGCCTCCTGGGCGGCACAAGGTGGTGACGATGATGACTGGGGGCGGGCGGCGGCATCGCAGGGCTCGAGTAGTTCAGCGGGAGGAACGCGTGGTGGCAAGCGGAAGCGTGCCTGGCGTGGACGTGCAACGAGCACCACCAAACGCTATAAAAGCGCTGCATCGCCGCGCAAAAAAGCCACGCCTGCCAAAAGCACTCGTGGCGCCAGCAGCAGCAGCCGTGGCGCCAGCAGCAGCAGCCGTGGCGCCAGCAGCAGTCGTGGCGGCGTCGTATCCAAGCGAGGCGCTGCCAGCGGTGCGTCCGGTTGGTTGAGCAAGAAAACGGGCACCAGCAGCGGTTTCCAATTGATGCCGCTGCCCGGTTCGCGTTAGCTTGAAAAGAGTAAAAAGAGCGAAACAATAAACATTTTTTTGTCACTTTTTTTAACCAACAACAATAAGCTTAAGCTATAAGTACTTTTTAAGTTTCAAAGCGGCATTTTTGATCGAAAAAAAAAATTCTTCACGTTGCCAATTTATTTCATGGTCGAACGCAATTTCTCCTCAAAGCCATAAGCACCCATGGACCATATCAAATTACTGTCCGTCTCCACCTGCACAAACTCCGTGGAATAGGTATTCGAGGTGCTGACCATGCCACCAAACTCCATTTGAGCATGATCTACAAAAAAAGAGAGGGAGAGAACGTACATGAAACTATTTATGGGTAATCGTCAGCACATCTTGATACCCACATAGATTCCACTTGAGCCCCTGTGTGGTGACATTGTGAGCCGTGCTGCCCACGGGCATTAGAGAGCACCAGCGCTGGCTGGTTACCAGATCAAGTGGCACCTGAATGGTATGTTTGCCCGGTCGCAGAAGCCATGTTATGGAATCACCGCTCAGCAGATACACATTACAATTATCCTTTTGCATTTTGTACAGGGTATTCAGGTTGGCCATCACCTGATCCAGCCGACCGGAGCAGTCATGGAACACCACCACATCCTTTACCTTGCGCTGCGCCATCACCGGCTGCAGCACTGTGAACGCTTTCGTAAAATCCGTAGCATCTTGATCGGGCGTATTTATTTTAGGTATACTCTTAAAAAATTCAACTGTCTCTTCCGTTATGGAATCAAAATCGCCCGTTATCAGATCTGGTGGCTCTATGTCGCTCGGTTCAATGTCACTTTTGCTGCTATTGTTCTGTTTAGCTGCCGACTGGGCCACTATGAAGTTGCGCAAGTGATTGGAGCCTCCATCCACGGCGCATCTCAAGGTCGCTGCAATCGTTTTTATTTATTATTTCTGTGGTGGGTTTATTTACATTTGACATTTACCGTTCTTCCATAACAACTTGACCACGTGCGCGGGAACTTGAATTTGTCGGTTGAGCACAATGCAGACGTGACCGTTGGGGCCCAGCTTAAAGGTCTCATTGATAAGATTGCCAGGCGTCCATTTGTACTCTTTGGGAGGTATCGTGTGGTCCATTTGTTGACGAAATCCAATAGTTGTTTTTGTACAATAGTTGCGTGGGTGCGCTCTGAGGTTGCCAGCCTGCTTGAATATGCGGCTGTCATCTGGCAACGCTAAGCTGGTGCCCGCGCCGCGCAATAATTTAAAAAGGGCATTTTTGATAGCTGCCGCTGCTGCCATCTTACGGCAGCGCGTGCCGTTAATTCGTACGATACTCATAAAATTTGATTTATGATGCTTGGCACGACTTGACATTTTCATATAGACTATAAAAAAGCAACATCAATGCCGACAACAGGCACTCCGTTCATAAAACAACGCCGTCATCAGACCGATTATATGCGGCTTGCAACTCTGCGACGCCGCAAACAAAATGGCTCTGATTTTTGCAGACTAAAAAAGTTTCGTTTTGAATTTTCGCAATTTAAAATGGCAATAATTTGATTGGAATGAAACAAGTAAAATGCAACTTGCAATGGACGTGTGTGCGAGTACAATTAAGATGATGGAACCAAGATTGCTAAATTAAAATGGTGTCGAAAGTGCGTGACTGAGATTTGAATACGAAAACTAGTTCTTACAAAACTGCACGCACACACGCACGAGCTGTGGACAGCCTCCCAAAAATGGAAGGTATGGACCTGTGGACGTCCATGTTTTCAGCAGATTTCGAAGAGGGCGACGGTGAGTTAGAGAGTCACAATAACGGCAACAGCGCGCTGGCAGACGAGTTTATGGGCGAAGAGGAGGAGGACGAACAGGAGGCTGAAGAAGATGAGGGGACGGGTGAAGACAGAGACAGCAAGCGAAAAGGACACGAGCCCGATGACGATGCCATATTTGATTTTGAACTAGAGCCAATTGTTAGCATTGCGGAACCAGCACCGGAATCTGTGCCAAGACCAACGGTCCCCCTGGCGCCACCAATGCCAACGGGTCCAGCCATCCGACCACAGCACCGCCAATCGTTGCCAGCATCGTTTGGCTCCCAGTTGATAGTGGGTCGCGGCGGTGCAGGCGTTCCACCCACACGGCCAACGACCTCACAAATCAATGCAACCGATGAGAACGGTGTGCCCATTAATTATGAGCTGGGCGTCATCTATATATGCCCCGCCTGCGGCGCCGAGTATCGGCAGCAGGACATGTGGAAGCGTCACATGAACCAGATGCATCAGTATAATACGCGACGGGGTCTCAATTTCGTGGCCATTGATAAGCTATATCATCGGTGCTTGGAATGCAATAAGCGCATCGCAATGCACAGTCGGGAGAATCTTCTGAAGCACAAGTTTACCCATTTGCCATACCGCTGCACCAAGTGCTACATCTGTAAGCGCGAGTACAAGTACAGGCAGGACCTGATGGTGCATTTGCGCATGGTGCACTGTGACGAAGTGGTGGCTATGATGCGCGGCGGTGATGCCAGTGCCGGACGCAAGACACGTGTGCGCGAGCCGCGCATTGAGCAGCATCACGGGCCCTACGGGCCGGAACATGACGATGACGACGGCATAGAGGTCAAGAATGAGCTGATGTTGGAGGCGGAGGGCGGCGCGCAGGCAGCTGATGAGTCCAACTTTGGTCTGGATGATGAGCACAGTCGCAGTTCCAGTCAAGCGGCTAGGAAAAAGCGCGGCACTGCTGTGGCTGGCAATGGAAGTGGAAACGGTGCTGCAGACATATGCGAAGACTATATACACTATATGTGTCCCGACTGCGGCACCGATTGCGATACGCACGCCCAATGGAGTCAACATATTGAATTTGTGCATGACTACGTCAGTCGGCGAGGGCTGAACTTTCGCTGCGTGGACATGCAGATGCAGTGCCTCGAGTGCAAGCAGGTAAGCAATACCTAGGCATTTGAAAAATTTCCATTTATAATCCTTTCCTGTGTTTAGTTTGTCATTCCGAACACGATAAAGACGCTGCGTGCGCACAAGTTTAGCCATTTACCTCAGCCGGAGTGGATGCGCTGCAAGCTGTGCTATCAGGGCTTTACGGAGCATCATGAGCTGCTCGCGCATCTACTGAAGCAGCATCATTTGGAAACCCTAATGCCTGAAAAGGAGGAGGAGCAATCCTTGGCCACAGCCGGTGCGGGTGATGAGGGCGAGAATACTCAAGGCATTGGCGGCGATGAGGAATCTCAGTTGCAATGGGACGATGTGCCGCGTCGTGGCGGTCGCATTGGCAGCGACGATATGTACGAGCCGCATATTGATTATCTGTGTCCGCAGTGCGGCAGGGAGTTTATAGAGAAGAAGCACTGGCGCACACATGTTGTCCAGGTGCACGGCATGAACGATCTGGCCAAGTTGAACTTCGAGGTGATCAACGATCGCCAGCTGAAGTGCACCGAGTGCGATAAGATCATAACGAATGCCTATGGCATACAGAATGCCCAGCAGCACAGGATAACGCATTTGCCCTACAAGGCGTACGCGAGATGCCGTAAATGCCATAAATCCTACACGGATCGCAAGGGTCTGGTCAAGCATTTGGCCACATACCATCGCGTTGGCTATGAACCACGCAAAGCGGGCGCCGTACTAGGCCCTGGCACACCGTTGGTCATGGCCTTAAACCCAGCCAAATCACAGACGCCACGCAAACAAATTGTCACTGTGGCCAACGAAACCTATGAGATTATATATTTGGATGAGGAGCAATCGCCGCCAAGTAATAATAATATTAATGAGGAGAATGACTTTGGAGAGCAAATGCAGGCGGATGATGATGATTATGCCATCATAGGCAGCACCAGCGGCAGCATGGGACGCCAGCTGCCACCAATTGCCGCTGCTTCCGATGCACCAAATCCCAATCGCTACAAATGCGTGGACTGCGGCTCACTGTTTGCTACGCAGGCGGCGCTGAAGACACACATCAGCGAGGAGCATGATTTCATGGACACACAGTATAGCGCCAAAAAGTTTGATAATGCGGAGCCCTCAGAGGAGGCAGCTCCAGCTGCGCCTGTTGCCGTGACGACAGCAGCCACTGCTATGCCCGTCAAAAACAGCGCCGGAGCCTCTACCATAGAACAGAATTATATATTCCTGTGCCCGTCATGCGGCAAGGCTTACAAGACGCAGTTCGAGTGGCGACGTCACATCAACGAGGAGCACAATTTTGACAAGCGACAATACTTAAATATGCGCCAGCTGGATAAGTATCGCTATCAGTGCACCCTGTGCAAGGACATTGTGTGCAATTCGAAGCTGAAAGGCTTGCAGGATCATCATTTTCGTCATTTGCCTTATCGCCTGTATCTGAAGTGTCTGGTGTGCGGCACCTGCTACAATCACAAGCCCAACATTGCGGCACATCTGCGCACACGACACAACATCTACGAACGCGAGTCCTCGTGGCGTGAGCACCAACCCAAGTCCCAGAATGGCTACGAACAGCTCAAGTATAAGGATAAGGATAGGGACATGCAGACCATGGCAGGCACCAGCTCAGGATCACCAACGCCGGGAAGCAGTCGCACGCTCAAACCACAACCGGGCGTGCTGCCTACGCGACCCGCTGGCCTCAATACGCTGGAGGACAGCATCTCGTATCATAATGCCGTGGATCTGGACTTTATTACCTACTATTGCCCCAAGTGCAACAAGAACTTTGATTCGCACGCCTTCTGGCGCAAACACATTGTCGAGCAGCACAACTATAACAGTCGGCAGGGCTTGAACTTTCGCCAGATTGACAACCATCACTATTTGTGCCTGGAGTGCTATAAGCGTGTGACTGTGACTCATACCAAGGGGGCAATTGGGCAGCTGCAGTCGCACAAGTTCCGGCATTTGCCGTATCGCTCCTTTAAGTGCTTGACCTGCAGCGGCGAGTTTGTGCGCAAGCAAATGTTCTTTAAGCATTTGAATCGGGACACCAATCGTTGTGACAACAAGCCAATGAGTTGCCAGGATAATGATGAGGATACAGCAGAACAGCCGGATAGGCCAGTTGCCATGCCCGTTAAGGCGGCACTTGATGGCGCCACGTATCGTTTGATGTGCCCGCAGTGCGGTGATGGCTTCACCACCAGCAGCAAAGCACTCTGGCGGGAGCATATAAATATCTATCATGGTCTGGGCAAGCGCGATCTGCTGCATATGCGTAAACTGGGCGAGGAACTGTATCGCTGCACAGACTGTGAGGAGCAGCTGCAGACCAAACAGTTGCGCGTGCTGCAGCAGCATCGCTTCCAGCATTTGCCCTATGCCGCCTACATACGCTGCCAGCTGTGCGAACAGCAGCAGCCACCGGATGGACTGGGTCATGGTGCAGTCGCTGCCGGATTACATAGTATGCGCGAGCTGCAGCAGCACATGCGTACTGAGCACCCCAATGTGGCGGAGCATGATGACCAAATGCGAGCGCTGCTGGAGGAGGAGGAGGTGGAAGATGTTCAGCAGCCGGCGGCTAACAGTGAGTCGGACAATGGTCCATATATGCCATTACCGCCCCATTTGCTGGACGATGATGTCGAGGACATGGAGTTCGAGGAGCAGTATCTGCTGGGCTAAGCACTGGCCAAATCTTGCCAACCCAGTGATAAACAGAATCTACAAGTCTACCAACAAGGGACTCACTCACAATTAAATATATATCTAGACACATATATATATATATATATATATATTTCTAACTGAACTTAAGTATTTATAAATAGTTTATGGCGCTCATTTCATATACAAATTGTAATTTCATCTCGAATTGTCATCCAAATACTTAAGTAGATTTACTCAAAAGGTATTTATTATTTTCCCCTAATCCCACTCAAGTACCCCAAAAAGTTAATTTTAAAACACTTAGGAGCTCGTAACGTTTAACTTATCTATGAAATTATTATGAGATTTATAAATTTACTACTGTATATTAAATAGGAAGCGTACAACCTTAACTTTGAGACTAGAATGTAGTTACACGATCAGTATGATTCTCATGATACAGTGATCGCTCGTTAAGTAGAATTATTCAATTTCAGATGTGGTTTTAATTTGCATAAAATTGTAATTTTTGGCACATGGAATATCGATTAGTAATATTACATTCTATTCCTTCAATTGAAAGACAACGGTAGGGCAATCGTTTTATCTTTTTGCGATTTTCTATTCTGGACCATGCTAAATGCTGGCAGTTTCCATTTCCGAGCGAGCACTTTATCGGTTTTTCTAAGTGATTTTCAGCTAAAGCAGCTTTACATTTCCTTCCGCCTTTGTTTAAGCCGTATCTGTAGCTTTTCGTTAAAATACTAAAAATAAATAAGAAAATTGATCATGACATATTCGAATCTTGAGTTTTATTATTGCTAACTTTTTTTTAAGGAAATGCTAAAAGTTGGATTGTAACCTTTGGACCAAATGGGCTTGTCGAAATTTATCAACAAATGTTGAACATATATATGCTGTATTTAACAGCTGTAGTTTAAAGTGACGCCAATGTTAACAGTTTTATGTAATGTAAAAAGCTGTAAGCATAAATAGATGGCTCGAAAAGTGAAACTTTCACAAATTATAATCAGCATTTAAACAAAAAAATATAGTCTTTAGAAAATGGATCTCTGTGTGATTGGTGTCTTTTTATATACCCATTATACAAGTTTGCTGCCAAGTAACGAAATAATCTATGTAACTTTTGAAATACGGATATCCAAGCTCAAATCATTTATAAAATCTAACGACACATGATTTTTGAATTTTCATTAGTAATCGTATTTTCATTTATTTTTTCTTTAATAATTTCGACTAAAGACCCCCTCTATAACGCCCCCACAAAAGTGTTTGTCAATTTAATATGTGTGTATGTGTATATATATATTAACGACATATTTATATTTGTTAAAAACAAACCGAAGAAACAATTAAACATTTAATAGTAAAGCAATACATATATATATAAATCAATATATATATATATATATATAGTATATTTGTAATACAGATCGAGAATGCATGTGTCATTGCAGCTGCCAATGAAATGTGATTGTAATTCAATTTAATATGATAATAATACGATATGTTCACGGTTTTATAGAACGTTAAGTCTAAAATTGATTTCTCGTTTGTTTTTGTTTAATTTTATGTAATACAATAAATAATAATAAATACTTTTGAAAAGCATAAACAAATTGCACGCACATAATAATTGCAACTACTTGTTAAAATAATGTAAATTAAAATACAAATTAGAACAAAATATTTTCTTATTTAATATTAAAAAAAAACGGTTGTTTTCTTTTGCCAAATACATTTTCGTATGCGCATGGAATGAAAGTTAGCTAATTGACTGTTGTTTAAACAGTTTTTCATTGTGGGTTTTCCCCATTATCGTTTCGAAGTTTACAAGTTGTCAGTTCCTTTTCTTTTGTGCACGCCATTCTCACTATTCGACTTTGCATTTAGACTTTTTTTTTCTATAACATATAAAACTTATGCATTGTGTGTGTGTGTGTGTGTTTGTTTAGTAACAATTTGTTGCTGTTTCTTGTAGTAGTAGTAATTGGTTTTTTATTGTTATTCTGGAGCCTCACAGCGTGGGCATATTGCGTCTGCCATTGCTGCTGCTGGTGCTGGCATCTCCGCTACCGGCGGTTCCGTCCTGTTGCGCCTTTTGCTTGGCACGTCGCACCTTCTGACGCGTATGCTCTATTTGAAAGTCCTCGACACGCAAATTGAGCCGCATCATATTGTTTATGATGAACTCCTCCTCCATAATGTGCTCGGGCGGGGAGCGCAACACTGCGAGCGTTTCACACAAGCCCGTGCACGTTTTGCGCACCTTGTGCCGGCTGAGCGAGGCGCCAATGATGACCAGGGCCACCTTAAAGATGACGCGTATGCCCTCGGCGAGAAAGCAATCCCAGACACGCAAGAGCGTCTCCCAGGGCAAGGTGCGCGTCATGGCGCACAGAAACCAATCGGTCATATAAAGCAGCGGCTCCACTTTGTGCTTCTGCAGATGACGATAGACGGGCGGGCAGGTTTTCTTAAGCAGGCCCTCCAATATGCCCGCATCGTTTTGTATCACCTCGAGACCAGGTATAAAATAATCCTGCAAGTAACTGTACGGGAATGAGCGGCTGTTTTGATTGAGATTTTTGAGTTGGACTACTCACACATCACATACGCTTACAAATACCCAGAAGGCATCCTCTGCCGGCAAATGCATCAATAGGAATGCGGCTATTGGCGCTTGCGCTTGACAGAAGCCCACCTTGGGATTATATATCGAATAGGCCTTCAGCACATTGAATAGCTCGATTTGGCCCACCTTCTGCTCGTCGAGAAACATTTCGTGAAACGGAAACTGACGATGTTTATCCTTTTTGATCTCCTCTATGGTCGAGGGATTGCCCGGCTTCTTGAGCAGCTCCTCGTAGACATTTGGATTCTTTTTCTTCAGCAAATACGCGCCGGATAGATAAAACCAAGCCCTGGGACGCACCGATTTGGGTATGCCCTTGCGGCATCTGTCGCGTATCTGTGAAAGCAGTTGGATTTCGATTAGGTATAAATTGTGATTTTTTGCTTTATACGGCTCACCCACCTTTTTGTAGTTCTTGGACATATAAATGGACCAGTTCTCAATCATATAAAGCCATTTCTTCTCTCGCGCTATGATTTGTGCTTTGGATAGCGGCTCTTTGGGTTTGTCGGTGCGCTGGAATCCACCATAGAAACCATTGCGATCGGGGCAACTGGATACGGTGGAGCATAGCGAGATGGTATCCAAAGCGCGCGGTGGCGTTGCCATCTGTGTCGAATGTGCTGGGCAGAACGATATCAAACTAAATCCATAAATTATTACAAAACTAAAATACGCCCACATTAAAGCAAGTAAGACTGAACTTATCGATGTTGCTCGACAAGAAGATACCCTGTATTAAGCTCCCCATTAAACATATTGGTTGTTATACACATAACAACTCAAAGAATTCTTTCTACTAATCCTCACTGTCCAAAAATGCATTCTCAGGTAACTTCAATGTTTAGGTTTTGATTATAAAACAATTTTTGGGGCTTAAATATAATGTTTAAAAATGTGTATATTAAAATTTGGGTGGACTTGTTGCACAAGCTCATTATGCCTGGCTTATGCAAGCGTACAGGGTATAAAAAGAAAAACAGCTTAGCTTATTTTTAAGAGCGTGTAGGTGGACTGAGAGAGCGACTATAGATAATTTTTTGTGTGTGAGAGAGAAAGACAGAGAGAGAGAGAGAGGGAGAGAGGTTGCGCACCCAAGTACTAAAACCCAAGACAATTTGCATTAATAATCTGATGTTTGTATCTGCAAAATGAAAAACTGCGCAATTAAGTGCGATCAACGTGAGTTTGACAATATCTCAATCATTCGCTCAATTTGGTTCGTTTAGCAAAATTTGGGCGAGCATTACTCCTATATACATATATAGACAAATATGTATGTATATCTATTAGGTTAACTAGGGAGATATGATTGTTATTGTTTATTTATAACATGAACTTATCAGTAGTTAGCTTAGATAATATTGCACCTTGAATATTTGTTTTTTTTGTTATATTTTAAATTTACTTATATGCCCACCTCATTCGATTTAGCTGCAGCAGCTCCTCCAAGCTGGCGCTTCTTTTTTTGTGATGCACGCGTATTAATGGAACCATCGTAACTAATTGCAAATTTGCCTATGCAAGACCTAAAAGCCCAAAACCAAACTGACGGACGGACAGACAGAGGGACAGACACAAGAACAGGCGGCACAACTGTTTTAGTTTGGGGCCCACTATATATACATATATATATATATAGGTACCACACACATAGGCAGACACGTGGAAGAAAAAACAAAGAATTTGCCATTGCTTACAGCGTTTGAAATGCTTGTAAATTAGTCAGCAAAGGTTTTAAAGCTGAAAGGGGGATTGGTAACGCATAAAATACTGAACACAAAGAGCTCAACTGATGAGCGATATGTGATTCAATACATATAAACTGTTACAGTTAATTCATTTTACTAGTATAAAACAAAGATTTGAAGTACAGTGATCAGAAATAGTACCAAGTAGTATTGAAAAGCAAACATTTGACCGATAAAAATTCAACATATTTTAGTATTGAATAATGTGTAAGTAAAGTTAAAGTTAAAGCTCAAGTCAAAGTTGGAGTCTGGCCACGCGACCTCTTATACGTTACTCTTCCAATTGGACGCCGGAAGCTCCAACTCAAATTCCAACTGTCGCCTAGGCTCAAGTTGCAGCTTGAGCTTGAGTGGCTAATGACAGGCGACTAACTAATTGAGGCAACTGTGTGTGTAACTGGCTTTAATAGCCCATTGAATGCTTAATTGCAAAACAAAAGCGAGTGAACGAGCGCAAAAAAAGGCGAGCAAACAAAAGTGCAAATGCAGCAGCTGCAGGGCAAAAAGAAAAGAAAGTCGCTGCGACACAATTCTGATGGGAATCGCGAGGCTGGCGAGGTCGTGTTGTTACTGTTCTTATCAGTAATGAATATTTCACAGCTCTAGTTAGACCAAGTAAATGTGAAGGTTTCATTGAGTAATATAAATACACAACATATACAGACACATATATGAACATACGTCACAGAAGCGGCGGCCCACCCACCAAAAGCGCTGGCTTTGCTCTTGGCTGCCATTTTGCCTACGCGCTCCAAAAACAAGTGTCACTGTGTGCTACTATGGCGGCTGTGATTGCCTGTCTATGAGTGTGTGCGTACAATACTGAGCAATTGTTATTATTAACAGCACGGTGCCCTCACCCGCCTCGCCCACCCCTCACTAACTTCACACATTCACGTACACTTTTTGCTTACCTTTCGAGCTGCTTGTTCTCGTTGGTTGCTGTTGCTTTTGTTGTTTGTTGGTACTGGACTGCTGCCGTGGAATGCGCAATAGTTGTTTTCACGTTTAACTTTCTATGCTTTCTTACGTTTTTCGTTTCGTTTTACACACACACACACACTGCGCCCGCACAAATGTGTTGCATTTATTGTGTTGGTGGAAACACTGTTTTCCAATTAGATTTTTGTTTATTTCCTATACAAATTGGAAAGGGAGAGGTAGCCATCGAAATAAAAGTTGCTTTTGTTCTTCCATTTGGTTAATTGGTCGCGTTAATATACGTCTACAATTCGTTTAACCGCACCGTTTGCTTTGGCACACAATTATTTGTTAATTTGGCTAACTTTATACAAATTTTGGACAAAAATATATAACTATTTCGTGGAGCTGCGTGTTGCGCGATGTGAACAGCCGAGCACTAAGAGATGACATATCGTTCGCCTTTGTGCGAGTG